TGTGCCACAATACCCAGCAACATTTTTTTTTAAAATTTTATTTATTTATGTGTGTGTGTGGGGGGGGGGGGCCAGCTCAGCCCACAAGGGGGCGGGGCTGGATGGCATGTGGTGCTGGGGTATTGAACCGCGGTCCCTGTGCTTTGCTAAGCTTGTTCTAAGTAGGTGCTTTAGACCACTGAGCCATCTCACCAGCCCCAACATTTTTTTTTTAAATGTAACAGGCTATATTAAATAAGTAAAGGACTGGAAACTCAATGTCCTATGTGAGTATTAGATTTTGATAGCATGCTTTAAAGACTGATGAATACAAGAGCAGCAGTTCTGAATTCCTTACTGCTTTCAAATCTGTATCCTAATATAGTGATACAAATGATTGCAACTTTTCTGAATCATTAAATTATTTGGTTTGATGGAGTGAGGCATGGAGCAATCTGGCATCTTCTGATTTGTAAAGTTGTGATGGCAGTGAAATTTAAGCAGATCTTCCTTTTTGTTACATTATCCAGTGTGCCAACTCAAGGTTACTTCAGAATGTGAGCTATAAGTTTTATGGAGGAATGTGGAGAAGAGGGAATTTTAAAAATGTGCTCATGGAAAGGGCATAATAAATGAAGTCCTAATAGTAAATAGAATGATTTTATGGTGTCCATTAAAAAGGACAAAAGTCTTCCCCCATGGCTCAGAAGTCATTCTATAATTGCCAAGGTAATGCTAGGAGTAGATTATGATTCCAAGAGGTATCTCAAACTCAACAAGCAAAAACAGTGAAAAAAACCCTATATATTGATTCCCTCCTCCAAGCTTTTTTTTTAACTCTTTGAAAACAAATTCCTAAGCTTAACTGTACTTTTAATTTGTTTACTCAGTACTTAAAATTTGTTTAACTGGTATTTTTAGCTAAAGACTTTTGGAAAGTGCCCTGTCCCCTCAGAGACAGTAGGATTATCAACTAATACTGTAAGCTCTTGTAGGGGGAAAATGAGCTTATTAAAATAAATTCATCACTAAACCTTGGAAAATATGTTTGCATCAGTCTTAAGTAGGCATAAAGGTCATAATGAGTGGAGAAACGTTTGCTTGTTGCCTTTCCCTATATAAATATTATTGTCTCAAAGCTAATATAGGAACAAGTCTCCAAAATCTATGGAAATATACTTAGTGAATATATTCTTAATCGTTAATACTAACCCATTATATTTTCGTCTGTATTAGCCATTAAAAAGTTATTTGTATTTATACCTTTAGGAAGATTGTATCTTTTTAATAAATGTTTCATCACTACTACAGGTTTTTAAACAAGAGCCTTTCAGTAGCATATGCCAGAAGTTCACATTTGTGCTGTTTTATGTTTTTAAAACAGGTTGTAGCTGTATTTATTGGTTATGCAAGTAAAGGAAACGCACAGTACATGTTTTTCCTACGCGCATAAAGGACTCAACCTCATGCTGAAAGTTTGTTCCTTTGGAAAGCAAGTATCTCTCCATAAATATGGCCTTCCATTTTCTTCTTAAATTTTTTAGGATCCACTTGTGCATGTAGTTGAGACCACTGTCTCTTAAAATATAGCACTTTTCAATTTTCTCTAAAGAAATATGTACTGCTTCTCTCACTTGTTGTAAATTTTCATGTAATAGTGTTTTCTGTGACTAAACTCCATTTTGATTGGCAACTAAGAATTTTTTCCTGTAGCTTTAATTTATCTTTAAGAGGTCTTTGCATATAGATGAAATGTATAATTTGCCTGGCAGACTTTTTGCATTGTGTGGCCTTAGTTTGTTTATTGACATTAACAAGTGTTTTAAAAAAGTTTTTAATGAATAGTCTTAAATCCAAATTTGTGTGAATAATAATCCTTTTAACACAGTCCTTTTTTGTAGCTGTCTAAGTGTGTTAAATTTTAAGCTATTTCTTTGTAAAATAGGACAATGGAATGCATAGAGGTTTTCTTCCCCTGTAAAGTATTTTTTTAATAAACAAAGTCTGATTTGTCCTTTACTGATGTTTCATTACAAAATGAATAGCATGTGTGAATTCTAGATACCAGAATCCTGTTTCCTTCCTACCTTCTCTATCCCATCATTTAAAATTAAAAAATATATATATATTTAAAATAAATAAATAAATAAATAAATAAAAGATTCTGGTCCTGAAAATCATAATCTAGGGCTGGGGAGATAGCTTAGCAGCATAAGCACCAGCCTGGCAAGCTCAAAGTCCTGAGTTTGATCCCCAGTAGCAAAAAAGAAATTTTTCTGCTGGTTGTGGTGGCTCACACCTGTGATCCCAGCACTCAGGAGGCTGAGACAAGAAGATCATTGTGAGTTGAAGACTAGCCGGGGCTACAAAGGCCCAGCCTGAACTGCATAGTGAGATCCTGTCTCAAAGACAAAAAATAAATAAAAGCATAAGCTAGACCAAAAATAAACATGCCCCCAAGTCAGGCTTTACTATATTTTGACTATATTTCATGACTAACACAGGTGAAGTTTTTGAACATATTTGGTATAATACCAATGTAGCTTATAACTGAGCTGGGATGGTAGAGATCAACAATGAATAGGGGTCACTCTTCTAAATATGAAAGATACTATGATTTGGGTCTAGATGTCTCCTGAAGCCACCATGGGTCATAAGTGGGGCTTTTCAGAGGTTGCTAGATCTTGAATATGTGATCCTAGGATTAAGTATGTGATGCTCAGATCAAGGGTGATTACTAAATTAGCCCACAGATTGATTTGGTGTAGTCCTGGGTGTGGATGATGGGAAGGCCCCCCTGGGGCACATAGGCTAGACAAAATATAAGGGAGAGGGGGGTCACTGCTTATCATTTGCTGTTTTGCTACTCTGCTGCCTCCTGCCTGCAAATGGACTGTTTCCCCCACCATGGAGCCAGCCAACTTTGGACTGACACCTCTGTAACTGTGGGTCAAAATAAACCCTTCCTCTTTTAACTCTGGGTGTCAAGTATTTTGTCTCAGCAACAAAAAAGGTAACTACCAAAACAAAATAAAATTAAAAAAAGAAAGGTAACTAAGACAGATGCATTTAAGATGGAAAAAATCTAGTAGTTGAGAGCCAAGTTCTTAAGTATATTCCAGAAACTTGAACTGTATTCTCCAAGGACAGCTGATAAAGGCTGAGAAAGTACTGGTTCTCCTTGCTTCCTCCTACCTGCCGCAGGGAGCTGGAAGGCGCCGAATGGAGACCATGAAGCTGCAGCTTTGTTTCTGAGGTTATTACTGTTTTCTCTTTAGTGAGTGAGTTTCCTTCACTAATAGGTGCTGCTAGTCCAAGTTACAAATTGCCCACCCCAACTGGAAGAGCCCAGAAGCCCCCTAGCTTTAGCACTCAGACAAGGCATGATCCGCTTCTAAGATGAGCTTTAGGCCTCACCATTCAGTCTGGATTCCAGAAGTGTTACAGTTTCTGATGACTGCAAACGCATCCTGGCTCATCTTTTGAGCATCATAGCGGGTGAGGGCACAACAGCGGCGCAGGCTGCTCAGACGTTTGTCACCTTGCACACGGATGCTCACAACCAGTTGGGTGGCTACCCTGTCATTCTGTGGGTAGAAAAGGGTTAAGATCCAGATAAAGGTTCCCGGAGTATCTGGGTTCTATATAATCAAGTATAAGAGAGAATCAGGGTGAGAGAATGGTTTGGAATCAGTAAGTTTAAAATTCAAGAATATATAGTTAATAAGCAAAGATTGAGCGTTTATCTGAACACCTTTATAACCTACAACTGTATACTGAGGCTATACATGCACAGAACACACTGGGCTTGGTATTGGGAGGGATGCAAAAACCATTCCATTTTTCATATTTCTTATACATTAATAATACAGATTTTATC